ATTACCACAGCGTGGCAATGGGCAGCTCAGAATGGAAAGCTTAAGAAGAATGAAGTGAATGGTGGTGAGTATGCGGAACTGAATGTTGACCAAGTTCGGTGGGATACGAAAGAGAAAGCGCAAAGCATGGTTATGACTGCGAGCGCACAAGTCGATGACTTGCCAATACTTTGCTGACCTCTGCTTTCTCCGCTGTATGAATCCGCTGCTGTGGGAGGACAGATCTGGGAGCATTGCAGATCCCATCGATGAGGCTGAGGCTCCAGAGTCAGTGAGTCCTGCAGCTCCAACCGGGCCAGCAGTGCAGCCGCTTCCGCAGTTTGCAGGCATTAGGCACCAGCAAAAAATAATGCAGTCATGCATGATGCGTGCTTAAAATCCCACAGCTGAGGAAAGGGCCAGTGGAGCGCATTCCGTTTCCCACTTTGTCGCAGACTGCCTCCCCCTACCAGCAATTGGGCCAATTTCTTTTGCTATTGGGAAAGAAGATAGATGTTGCCCAGAACCAGAAGGCGTGCCTGCTGACTTCAGCACATCCATTCCATTCACGTGGGCTGTCTGCGTCTGGCAGGACCGCTTGGATGATCACGCGCAGACTGACCGAAAGGCTGCTGAGTGCTTGTCTCAATTCTCGCTGTGATCTGGATTTTTGTATGTCCACGTGGTCACAGCATTCTCCTAGGCTTTCTGCTGGGATGGCAGCGCCTCTTGCAGAGCTCAAAAGGCTCAATGGTGAGCTGATTGAGTTGCAGGCTGCTGCGACGGTGAAAGCGCCAGAAAGGACGGGGTTGGTTTCCAGCAAAGTTGATTTCACAAATGGCACGGAGGGTAGCAGTGTGAGATGCCTGGGGCAGGGCAGAGAAAGATGGGTTGGTGAAGAAGTACATAGAAATCACCAAGAATGACACGATGATGAACAACTGGTCTTCGAGGGCCAGGCCTGCTCTAGCATCAATCGGAAACATCCAATCTCTTATATGTTTTTAGTGTTGTTCCCAAACAGCCAAGCTCGTGGATTCGGCTCCTAAAAAGATGCGCCCGCCACTGCATTTGTGCAAGCTGGACTGAGGTCTTGGAAGCCACCTCTGACAGAGGAGGAGAAGCGAGCTCGCAAGGAAGCGTCCAAGGCGAAGCGAAAGAAGAGCAAGAAGGAAGTGAAGAGTGAAGATGACCAGTCGGACAAGTCGACGAGGTACCCTCGGGGCGTTTTCTTTGTGACTGCATGGATGCAAGGTGCCAGCTGACCATGATGCCACTCTGTGCAGGAAGAAGAAAGCAAAGGCTGAAAAGGAGTGAGCGAAGTGTTGGCTGAAAGGTTTTTGGCCATATGTTTGGTTGCCGTGGTACAGCTGAAGACTCGCTGGTTTTGAACAAGAGATAGCACATATGCAAAGACTGTAGGCTGAGTGCAGATCGGGAAACTGGATAGAAAAAAACACGCATGCTTTCCCATGTCCTTGCCTGGTCTTACAAGTTCTTTCGTTTTCATAAACCATGCATGATGCATCAATTCATTGCCCACATGCCAGACATGCATGGACTGAGTGATGTCGAGCATGCATGGATGGAGTCACGCATGCTGACATGTCAGGGAAGCAACCTGCATTCTTTACACTGCCCAGCAAGTGACATGCAACATGTCATATTGCCCACCCTGTGCCCCCGCAGGGATCGACCTGATTGCAGAATCTCACGGAGAGATTCATCCAGTTGGGCGTGCAGGTTGGGGTACATGCATGTGTGTGTGTATGGTGGTGGTGGTGGTGGTGGTGGGTGGGTGTGTGTGTGTGTGTTGGTGTCTTAGCGGCCTTCTAGTGATGCTATTGTGCTGGAAACCCCTTCCAGTCCAGGTGCTTCTGAGCAAGTAGATGATGAAGGTGACCTGGAACAACAGCTAGTTGAAGAGCTGCTGGAGCATTTTGAGACAGGAGCTGCTTGACTGCCTAATTCTGTCAAGTTGCCATTCATTCATGGATAATTTCATTGACTGGCAGCAGCAAAGCCTTCCGAGGCTGACAGCGCCCGGTCATGTGTATCAGCATGCCGTTTGTCAAGTCACTTCCAACAGCACCCGCTTGCACGCTGGAAGCTCAGAGTGGTGCCTGCCCAAGGTGAGATGGCTTGTTTCTGACATGTGGCTCAGGTCGCTCTGCGATTTTGATGCAGATTGCCTCCTGGAAAAATCCCGGGAATTGGTCCCGCAACCTCCACAAGTTGATCACGCGATTTGGATTGTCTCTCAATGTTCCTGTCAGCAGCGTTCGATGTCCGTGTCTTTTTCGGAATCGGACCACTGTGGTACCATGGCCAGTCCTTCTTCTTTCCAGCTGGCTGCAGTCTATCTTTGCCAAAACTGGAGGGGCACTCTTGATGAATGGGTTCACCATTGATGATGAACAGCATGAAAGAGCTTTGGCAAGCTTTTGGGAACTCTACCGTGGGGTTGACCCAGGCCATGCTGTGTATGAAAGGCATGCATCAAACCTGAACGCAGTGGTGCCGCTGATGTACCATGGAGACGAAGGCAGAGGCCGTTTGAAGAGAGCTGTTTTGGTGACAAGCTACGTGGCAGTTCTTGCAGTTTCAGGGCACCCTTTTCTCTCTAGATTCCTTTCCACAGTGTATCCAGCAGAGCGGTATGCCACTGGTGATGATGGAGTGGAGACTTTGGAAGCTCTCCATACAGAAGTTGCGAAAGATTTGAATGAACTTTTGGAAGATGGTTTTGAAGTGATGGCCTCAGTTGAGTACTTGCTGGCCCCTGCATGGCTGGTCATGAAATAATCATGCATGCTCAGCTGCGTGAGGTTTCCAAGAAAGATGGTTCAAAAAAGAGAATGTTTGTAGCCATGGTGGGAATCCGTGGTGACTGGCCGTGGCAACGCGCCGCAGATGCAATCAAACTTTGGGAGTGTGACCATCATAGCTTTGCATGCTTTTGCAATAATGGCATACAAGTGCGCAGCTAGGTAAATGCAACCTATTGCAAACCGGATTCACATCGGCAAGGATATGCCACTTGTGCAGTGGACAGGCTGGAATCTAACTTAAGAATACATGCATGGCACGCATGTGGCTGAACCAGAAAATGTTGGCAACTGAGAGCAGGAATGGTGGCGGACAGACCTTGGCGCAGAATGGCGTCGCAATAGACCAGGAGACAACCCATGTTACCAGCCTTCTGCTTTGAGTTCAGTTCCCGGTTGCGGGCCGTATGTTTGCCCTGATCAAGCCCATACCTGGCATTTGGGCTTGGGGCAAGAGCTGTGTGCCTCAATGGTGGCACCTAGCAGCGGCAATGATTTTTTTGGATGCTTTTGAGCCACACGCATGCGCAGTTTATTGCGTTGCTAGTTTAATCTGTTCCATTCATGCAAGATTTTGTTCTAGGTACTTTTGGCCTTGCGGCTGCATGTTTGGCCTGCTTCAACCATAGAGGGGCGTTTGGAGCTGGCTTTTGCAGAGTTCGACACATGGCGTCGGCAGATGCGCATTTCTAGCAGCATCATGATGTTTGATTTGAAGAAAACTTTCAAGTGCATGTCGCTGCCTGGACGCATGCATACACAGTGCTTCTCATTTTTTTGCTACATGGCACCGTATGTGAATGTATCTGCACGCAAGCACGCACACACACACATGAGGCTGAATGACTGGCCGCGATTTGGAGGCAAAGGCTATGACACTGCAGCACTCTGCATGTGGCTCCATCATGTTGTCTTCCAGCACCCCAACATGGAGTCGGTGCTTTAATGGCAATCATGCAAGGCTGTTCATGCATGCCTGGAAGAGCACGCATGCTGCAGACATGATCATACTTACTGAGGTGACCCCGAGTGATCTTCTGGGACTCCTTCGATGGGTCATGAATGCAATAGATATCTATTTCCGCGCAGTCAATGTCAAAGGCAGAAGGTGGATACCAGCCACAGAAGCCAGAGGATTGGTCCAGCATTGCCACAACATGACTGATTCTTGTCAACTTACGCACAGAATATGTTGAACATGCTTTCTGTTAGTGATTCTATGTTTCTTTGCTGCCACTGCTTTTCCGAATGGCTTGGAGCCCAAGGAAGGCCACAATGCCCTTGCAGCATGGTGTGCTGCTCGATCTTGGAAATTGTTTAAAAGGAAGCCCAAGCTCCATTCTCAGCAAGAGATTGGGCCACTTTCTTGCACTTGGTTGAGGGATGCTGCTGTATCTTTTCTATGTTGGGCAGGGGCTTGACCAACATGCATGCTGATTTTTTTTGAGGATGTGGATGCACGACCAACTTCTAAGAGGAGCTGAAATGGTGATGTCGCCAATGTGTTGCTTGGCTGGTGAGTTTGCTGTGCATGATTGTGCATGATTACGCATGATTGTGCGTGCATGCATGCGAGTTTTTTCATTCAGTGACAGGCTTCGCCACATGGGTGGACGAGGCCTTCATAGGCCATGTCAGATGCTCAGGGTACATCGTGGGCACTGTATTTCAAAACCTGGCTGTTGGGAACCCATTTAGGTCTCGAGAATGTCGAGGCGGTGCCACCCGTTTCTGATTTGCATCCGCACAATGCGGCGTGCATTGACGCATTACCGCCGAAAGTGGCAGCAATACTTAGACAAGAGATCAGGTAAGAGTAGGAAAAAATAGGAAAACATGCTGGGAGAGGGAAGGGGGTAGAGAGAGAACATCAAGTCTATGTAACTGTGCTAGCTTCAGATGCTAGCTTCCAGTAGCCCATGCATATTTAGATGATAGCTCGTGCATATATATCGTATACAATATATTGTAGATATCGTATTTCTTTCAGCCATCATCAAGATAGCCACTAAGGGGACTCTTCATATCCTAGACCTTCATTGGTACAGAACATACCGAGCGTTTTTTTTTTGGACCCCCTGAACCGAGCAGAAAAAACCAAATCGAGCAGAAATAAAAAGGTACACCTTTTTCTGTACCAAATGAAGGTCTAGGCTGTTGATTTTCAGGACTCTACCCCAGGCATTTCCCGGCCTTGGAAGAGCAAAAAATCAGCACGCTGTGGCCATCGCGTGTCACCTCCCAAGTCGCTGCGACCACGCTGTCAGTATCTGGGCTCAAACCTTCAAACGAAAGGCTTCGCACCTTGCAGGGCTGAAGAAATGGACCATGCTATGGTCTGAGTAGCTGGAAAACTTGGCTCCTCCAGGCAACTCAATTTCTTTTGAAAGACATCCTTTTCGAGGTAGGCGCAAACCCCATTGATATAACAGATCAAGAGAACATTGTGTACCACCACTCTGATAATACATAACTTGACAAAAACTGAAAACCGTTCACAAGAGCTTAGGTCATACGGCTTCCGTGGCTTTGTACAAGTATATTATGCTTGCCACCGCGTACACCCACTGGAACAGTGATCCAACCAACATGCAATTTCCCTCGCAATGAGTTCGAGTACAAATTTGATTTGTACACTTTTGTGAATCTCTCGCCAGCCTTAGAGCCATCAGGCTTTAGAAGTTCATGGCCGCTTAAAATGTATTCTTGCAACGGAACTGGTCTGTAGGCAGTGCGATACAGCACAGCATTCAGCCTGAGCTGATGAGAAGATATGAGAAGTACATGCTTCTTGCCGCATTAAGCCGCGCAAATGGTGTGAAGATGTGTGAAGGATGTGATTCACAACATTTCACAACTCACCATTCCTTTCACTTCGCATCGACATGTTACAAGTACGCAATTGCCACAAGTGATTTGGCCTGCTGCCAGGATTCCACTTGGCAATGTCCTCTACGTTGGGGAGTGTTGCACTCAAGCCCAACACCTTTTTTTCAGTGTCGACGATCAAATCATTCCAACATACTCCAACAAAATCCAACAAATGTATACAAATGTGCCATCTTAACATTCTTAACATTCTTAACTTCTTAACTTGATCTTAACTTGATTCATCCACAGAAAAGGGTGTTGATGAAGAACAATGCTTCTGCCACGAAAAGTCAAGACAAGCCGCCTGGATCTCTGGAGCGAGAAACAGTACCTGCAGTGGTCAGCTTACAATAGTTTTTTGATTTGCCATTGCAGGCCATGTGAAAATAATGTCAAAAAAATGTCTCTGCAATGGCAAATCACAAAAAAAAAATCTGTTGAGCATTGTTGAGCTACTACAGTACCCTTTTTTTTGCCGGAGATTTGGCGAAAAATGAAGTCCCTTAAGTCCCTTAAGTTACAGCAAAAAAAAAACATGCGCATGTTGTTTCAAAACGGACGTGCAAAAAGGTGATGCCTTGCAACCAGCAGCATCAGCAGCCCGCCTTGCTGAGGAAGATTTCTAAAAGATATCCTCTGGATGCATCACCCACCAGGTGAAGTTCATCCACCACCAAAGTTCCAAGCAGTTTGGTCAGCTGCCCTGTGCCAGGACTAAAAAATGCACCACAGAGATTGAGGAAATGAGTCAGAAATGAGTCAGTTGAGGCCCTGCAATCCTGGTATCAACTTAAGTATCAACATTATCAACTTAAGATAACTTAAGTAAACTTAAGATAACTTAAGATAACTTAAGTATCATTGTAGAATTCTGAATCCATTGAGTCGCATTGAGTCAACTCGAATCACTGTTTAAAGTTATCTAAGCCCATCTTCGTGCACCATGTAGTGCTTCGATCTTTGCCTTCTTCCACCATGTAGTTGATCAGAGCATTGGCTTTTTCGAGGGTGCACACAGCAATGTCGAATGGGTCCTCACCACTCGAAAGGAATCACATGAAATTGCCTCAAACGACACTTTGCATCCAGTATTCCCTCAATTTCTCCCATAGAATGAGAAGAGATGGGAAGAGTCTATACTCACCACAGATTTTCTGACACTGTCAAATACTCACAGTCAAATCAAGGAGAATCAAGGAGGTCCATGGAGGTCCTTAATGCTCGTAGGGCTGCCACCATAAAATGCTTGGATCAAGGCACCTGGTGAAAAAAAATGATCCCTTGCACAAACAGATTGCTCTGCTGAATGTGTGTTGATGTTTTCTGGATAGATGGACACAGTTGGACGGGTTACGCCCAATAGAACCTGTAGCTTCAAAAATACAGTTCTTTCATGTTCTTTCTTGCCTCCTTTTGTGTGGTATCTTTGCCCTTACCACCTTGCCTGTAGACTTGCAAAGGCTCTGCAGGAATGCTGCTTTCTCAGAGACCACACTGACCTGAGACACAGCAAATCACCAAGAATCCCGAACCAACAGCCCAGGACCAACAAGATACACATTAGATTTGTCATGATTTGTTTAAGTATGGTCTAAGTAGGTCATGTAACATGCGCATTTTCAAAATCAGCCAGCACATGCGCATCAGCCAAGGCTTCCAAGGATCATAGGGCAACACGAAGATCGCCCGTTTGCGCAAACGGAAGAGGCGTTGCAACATCAAGACTTCGCTGACCAAGGTTTTTCCGCCACTCGTTGGTGCGCAGTAAACCAAATTTTGGCCCTCCATGACTCCTGCGATTCTGGCGGTCAAATGTTGAAATATGTTGATATACAAATGATATACAAACAAGTTTCAGAGGTTTCAGAGGATCTGAGCAATTGTGCTCCACATTGGTATAATATAGACATCTATAGACATATGGGAATCATATGGGCATATTGCACTGACCTTTGGGCGCATGATGCTGAGAAGGTGAGCATAGCATCATTCTCCTGGAAAAGGATGGAACAGAACATCTACAGTGTACTATGGTAGGAAATCTCGGTAGTCGGTAGCCTCCAATCCTCACATGTTCCAATATTTTGCAGAAACCAGGGATGAGACCATGCAACACGATACTATACCTGCATCAATAATACATCAATAATACATCAATATAGTGGGTCGGATCGTTGGAGAGAGGAGAGACATGGAGAGACCAAAGTCCTGGCGTGGTCAAGCATTCGGCTTGCCAATTGTACAAAGATTTGATTCCGCGTGTTCGATACGCTTCGACCACTGCCTCCAGATGCGGCAATTGTGTCACTTTAATCATTCGGTGTGCCGTGAGCTGCTGTTTAACTTCTTTGAATTGTTCAAACTCCACTAAGTGTCCTATGGAAGAAAGGGAAAATTAGGGCATTCAGATCTTTTGAGCATGGTTCAGCAGTGATGCAATTTGATCTTGGGAATTTCTTAAGCCTAGGCTCATGCATGTGCACGAATATCATGGCACATTGTTTCTGCTAGGCTCGTTTATCGCCATACTGCTATGAAACTTCACAAAACCAGGATGTGCTCCACATCACTCTTTTCACCTGCGGCAAATCCAAGCGGGACAAGTCGAAGCTGGACATTTCACCCGCCATGATGCTCGGAAATAGGAATCAACTATCATTTCTGTGCCTTCTTTGGGCACTTGTAAATCAGCGTTGGCTCGTTTCGCTTGAGGCAGAACGGCAAACAAAACTTAAGCAAATATATTTACAGCAAAAAAAGTCACACTAGGTTCTCTTTTGTATACCATATACATCTAAGATGTTGAAGCGATCTTGCCATCAGGATGGAACAACTCCATGAAACTCCTCGTCATGTTTTTTGGGGATCTTCTATCCAACCTCTGCCAGTGGTGAACAGATCGTTTTCTGAGATCTTCACAGGATTCCAGCTCTCCACAGAGGTCTGCGATTTGCTTCGAGATAGGACTCAAGACTCCCTGCGGCTTGCCGTGGCTTTGCTATTATTATTAGCACCTCTATCTGCCCAAGAAAATGTAGTTCACCTTTGCATTTCTTCAAACAAAGCGTAAATAACACTTGACATATACTGCGTATGTATATTACATTTTCAAGGCTGCTGCATACAAACTGCAAAGTATTTGTTTTTTGGGGGGGTAGCATATATATTGTATATATATATACACAGTATTACATGTGCATATATGTATATATACAGTATATATATACATAATTATACATATCCATTTATATGTCTATATATGGGGGTTGTCCAAAATACCTTTTCCCGGACAGCCCTCAATCGCTCAGCCAATCGCGTAGCAACCGCGGTACCACAGTGAGCAATCGCGGAAGGGTTTGTTCTTCGTTGATCAGATCATATACATAAAATATAAGTTATGTATTATATAATGAGGATCCATGCGTGAACGCATTCGATTTCAAATTTGGGAACAAAATAAGCTCGCGCGGTCCGGAAACGGTCCGGAAAACTCACAGTAGTACCAGCAGCAGTAGTACTAGTAGTACTAGTAGTACTAGTAGTACTAGTAGTACTAGTCGTAGTAGTAGTAGTAGTAGTAGTAGTAGTAGTAGTAGGAGGGGTAAGAGTAGGAGTAGGAGTAGGAGTAGGAATAGGAGAAGGAGTTCTAGTAGCAGGGCAAGGGAAGAAAGGGAGAGGGAGGGAAAGAGAGAAAGAGAGAGAGAGAGAGGGAGGGAGGGGGAAACAGATGGTTGCGTTTGACCGGTTTCTGACGGGTTTCTGACTGGTTTCTGACTGGTTTCTGACTCGTTTCTGACCCTTCAGCGGAACTCGTGTCAATTGGATTTAAAAGCAAGAGCAGAAATTCCTAGGTGTACTAGTGGTAGTGGTGGTGCAGTAGCAGCGGGTGTGGTGGTAGTACTAAGAGTAGTAGCAAATCTAGTAGTGGGAGTAAGGATCCATGCGTGAACGCATTCGATTTCAAATTTGGAAGCAAAATAAGCTTGCGCGGTCCGGAAACGGTCCGGAAAACTCACAGTAGTACCAGCAGGACTAGCAGTAGCAGTAGCACTAGCAGTAGTGGTAGTGGAAATTGCAATAGGAGTAGGCGTAGGAGTTCTGATGGGAGGGTGAGGGAATAGGCAAGGGAGAGAGAGAGAGATTGCTTTTGGCCGGTTTCTGACGGGTTTCTGACTGGTTTCTGACTGGTTTCTGACTCGTTTCTGACCCTTCACACGAGTGCAATTGGATTTAAAAGCAAGAGCAGAAATTCCTAGGTGTACTAGTGGTAGTGGTGGTAGTGGTGGTGCAGGGTGGTGCAGTAGCAGCGGGTGTGGTGGTAGTGCTGGGGGTAGTAGCAAATCTAGTAATGAGAGTAAGGATCCATGCGTGAACGCATTCGATTTCAAAATTGGGAGCAAAATAAACTTGTGCGGTCCGGAAACGGTCCGGAAAACTCACAGTGCACTAGCAGTAGCAGTAGCACTAGCAGTAGTGGTAGTGGAAATTGGAATAGGAGTAGGCGTAGGAGTTCTGGTAGGAGGGTGAGGGAATAGGCAAGGGAGAGAGAGAGAGAGGTTGCGTTTGGAGTAGGAGTAGGAGTAGAAGTAGGAGTAGGAGTAGGAGTAGTAGTAGGAGTAGTAGTAGTAGTAGCAGTAGTAGCAGTAGTAGTAGCAGTAGTAGTAGTAGCAGGAGTAGTAGTAGTAGTATTAGTAGCAATGATAAGAGCTGAGGTGGATGGATGGATGGATGGATGGATGGATGGATGGATGGATGATGCTAGGCAAGTGCTGCCTTTTTGGTGTTTCTGACCTGTTTCTGACCTGTTTCTGACCTGTTTTCAATTGGAGCTAGCTTGAATGTCCTTCTGACCTGAAAACATCTGCGCGGATTCCGCGCGCGCGGAATCCGCGCGGCCATGTCAATTATTGGCATGGTTCTGGTCTCGAAAGTAGTAGTAGTAGTAGTAGTAGTAGTCGTCGTCGTCGTACTCGTACTAGTAGTAGTAGTAGTAGTAGTAGTAGTAGTAGTCGTAGTCGTAGCAGAAGTAGTAGTAGTAGTAGTAGTAATAGGGTGGTAGCCGTATAACCAATCGCCAACCAATCGCTCAGCCTATCGCGATGCAGGTTTTAGCAATCGCGCAAAGCAAAGTAAACGAATCAATTCATAAATTTGTGACCTGCTTTTACGGACGGCTCCCATATAAGATTATATAAGTCTAATAGTAAATAATAATAGCCTATGGTAAATAAACATAGACCCTGAAAATCACCAATTTCTAATGGAAACTAGTCTTCCAACCCCTATCTGCCAGGGTCTATGTTAATTTACCAGAGGGTAATATACAACAAACGTTGCTGGTCCCTAGCTTCCAGGCTGTCCCTGCCAGCCACTGGCCTCGCTGTCTTCTGTGTCGGGCCAAACATCTGAGGCCTCAGTCATCCCTGTGCCCCGACTTGGTGAGATTTACTCTGCGCCAGGAGATTGGAAAGGATGTTGTCTGATTTCACATGATTTTACATTGAACATAGCTTGCCAAGATCATACTAGCACTTGCCATTTTTTGGTATAATTCTTTATAATCTTACATCATGTTCGTTTGTATGTGTCTCACGCATGTGCTCAAAATCGTACCATGGTTCCATGGTGCAATTGCAAAACAACATGAAACTATAAGTATATCAATAAAACTCCTGGAATCACTTCTTTCAGACCAACCTATTGCCCGGACTTCGTATTGTGAGTAGATTCAGCTTGCATATCCACCGACTGCTGAACATGCTCGGCTGGGACCACAGCATGACATGTCGGACTCAGAATGATGCAATCCTCCTTTCATGAGGCTTCGCAGAGCCATGAAAGACCATGAAAAGGAAAACAAATGATAAGGCAACAATTTGATGATCGTTGGTCATTAGCCAATGAGGTCGTTGATCAGTTGCATCAATAAATGAGGCAACATGATATGAATTTGATTCCGCTAACGTGTGCAACCAAGCGAGAGGAACACATACTTTCTTCCCATCAACGCAGCTGTTTTTCAAGAAATTCACATTTTTTGAAATGCATACCGACATGTTTTCATTATTTTACAAGATAATCACAAACAAATACAAAGAAAGCACGTGATTGAAACCATTGGACATGTGTTTCTCTACTTTAAAAATGTTTTGGAAACTAATGCCATGTTGATAAAGAAAGCTGGAAAACTGAAAAAAAAAAAGCACATTAAGGAGTCTAGCAACCCAGCTGGTCCTGGGCTAAAAGCTCGTCGAGGATTGCGGTTGGAGATTGCAGTGCCTTGAGGGAAAACCAGAGTAAATAAAACACAATACAGAATAATACAGATACAAAAAAAAACATTTTTTTAAAAAAAAACAATAAACAAATATAAAAACATCATAAAAACATCATAAAACATCGTGTCGAGTCTGAAAAGCCGGATGAAAGTCTACCCCCGAACATCCGGAAGAGGAAAGGATGCACAGCATGAGGGTCTAAGGGATAATTGAAAAGAAACTGAAACCACTGTCGCTTCCCAAGCAACTCGCGTTGCCTCAGGTCATGTTCTTTTGGCCCCAAAAAGCCAGCCTCTCCATCATCTGACATGATTTTGCTGCGTCCCTACAGGAGTGCGGCTTTATTGCGGATACAGTGCTGCGAGTGGATGAATCACTTTGGATTTAGGTCTTGTGCTGAATCTTCCCTGTTGAGACTATGCAAACAAAAACAAAGGGCAACCAAAAATTTGCAATAGAGTCAGAGTCCATGTTCTGTGATAGCCAATGAACTCTTGCTGTTCTCTTGTTCAGATGTGTGTTTCCATTTGCGGACTGGAAGTTTGTTTTCCTAAATTTCGGTAAAAGTGATGCACATGCTAGGCACGTGGTAGACTTATTTTTTGCGCATGTCAGCTGCTTGGTTTGAGCGAATACATGGACCCATGTATTGAAACAAAACCGGACCACAAGCACTTGACAGCGATCCCACGGGGTTCCATGGTATCACCTTCATACTCTTAGGCGTGGCAAGAGTGCGCTTTTCTTCCATACATCTGTCCATTTAGCTCCGACTTGAGGGTGGCCAACAAATATTAATGCATCACTGAATTGTCATTCCAGTCCCAAAAGCGGTTGATGCCACAGCAATATCAGCAATGTTGGCGCAACATTTTGCTATCACTCTAGCTGCTGCAAAAGCTCTGGCATCAATGTCTGATGCAGGTGGGGTATTAACAAGCTAAGCATATCGGCTCTGACATGCAAAGACAGTAGCATCTGCTGGCGTTTGCATTTTGCACGAAAGTTACGGGCAGCCAAATTACGCACAGAAACAATCACATGCCAGCGTGCGACCTGCGAGGGGGTGCAAAATGCAGCAACCAAAAATAGAATTAACTCAAAGCTGGCATCTAACTGCCAAACAAATCCAGTGGAGAGCAGGCATGTGGTAGAAGGATTTTCGTTTCACATACTCTGCTTCATGCTGAGGTGCTGGAGTGATTAGGGGTCTCAGTAGCTTGCGTTGATTGTATCCGAGGTCATCGCTCGCTTGGGGACAACGAATCTCTCTGATGAGTAAACCATAATAATCCATAGATATCCATAGTAATCCCATTAATTTGGTTCTTCCAGTAGGGCCGCCAACAGGTGTGGCGATGCGCAATCTCTCAGCTCAAGCGTCCGTAGCACTATCAACTATCCTGCAAAGGCGTAGCGGAAATCTTCCGTCATTCTACAGCAGTAACAACAACGGTACAATCACATCAAAACCGTCTAAACTCACATCAAAACCGTCAACACATGTCAAAACAACGTCCCCAAATGCTTGTTACGTCCCTCATTGAATCACCACTGAAACCGACTGAAACCATGAAACACCGGTCCATTTTCAGGACTTCTCCCGATGGCTTCTGTGACGAATCTACCCTGATGGAAGTCCCAGGCGTTGCATCCTGGCATAGACCTTGGTGACTTGGTGGTGAATCTCACATTTCACCATGAATCACCATGAATCAATGGATTACAGGCTGAATCCAGGATTGCTTTAAGAGAAGATCTACACAAAAAATGTCATTTCTTTTTCCCCCAAACACTGTATAGGCTAGGGATGGTTAGGATGGCTAGAGGGGTTCCTGCAGATTTTCCCCAAGTCTGGGAAGGATCTCCTGTGCACAACCGCGGAGTCCCTGTGTCTGAGTTTGCTGTGTGCTTCATGGAATTTGAAGGCCGGAAATATAAGGAAGCAGCATTTTGAGAGGATGCCCTTTGCCTGGTGTCAAACTGAAAGCAATCCTCCACCTGGCCCGCGCTGGGATGACCATTCTGCAAAACTTCCACGACCGGTTTCCGAGAAAGATCACTGTGACACACCGAGGGCGGTCTAGAGTTTCAGTGGTCAAAGCGAGTCAGCAATGCGATAGGGCGCATACCAGAAGGAAGATGATTGGGAATGTATGGCAGCTGCTTGTCGATAAGAACCTACCAGGCAATTTACATCGTGCAAACATTAGCCAACTTGCCTTCATGTGCAAAAATGATCAAAAATGACTACGTACACTGCACATGCAGTGTGTTGTGTAGCCACATCTACACTCTTGGAACCTTTGCGACAATCTGCTGGATGTTCTGGCAGTCATCATATGGCAGTGGTCCCCCGAAGCATTCCACAAGAATGCAGCCTCGGCAGAAAGCATGGTTTCAGCCCAAATTCGTCCTGGAACCGTCTGCACTAAGAACCCAAGCCAAAGAAAAGCAATGCTGAGCTGGAAGAAATCAATTCATTTGGACTTCGGATCATCAAACTCCAATGAAAGTGGGCCTTACCCACACGACGTAGCGACTTCATGCGATTTTAAATTGTCATTAGGAGAAAACCTGAGCTTTTGGCCAAGAGCCCACACGTCCACCTGGATTCTTGGTGAGAGACAAAGAATTGCGTGATGTGCCACACAAGGTAAGAGGATGTGAGAGGTTTGCCGATTCGTGAGCTCACGTGCCTGAGGTTTCATAGTGATTTTCATATCGATACCGTATATGGATACGTATGGTGTCATGTGTGGAAAGATGTGGAAAGAAACAGTAGGATACAGTAAGTTTGACACCATGTGTCATATGGTTTGAGTTTAGGCTGACCAACACTTCGCTACCAGATTTCTGCCGTGCCTTCTCAGTGATTTGACCTTTGCAGTCATAACACTCTGGCCTCAGCCGGAAACAAAAAGTGAATCTGCAACGCTTTCCACGGGCCGACGGGTCGTTAAAGAGTCTCTTCCATTTTAAATGACTTTGATGAATACTCTTGTAAACTGGAATCACTAACTTGTAAGGTGTTCGGCATTCATTTGGTTGAGATTTGGCATTCAGCCCACTTTCTGCCGGGCTTCCCCACGCCATGTAGCGAGGTGAGCCTCCATTTCCACCCTCTTTGAGAGTGATGTGTGTCTTCTCCATTGACCTTCACTCGTCCACGTCATTTTTGGGGGCAACACGGCATTGGCTGATGGCCTCATCCTACCCTTGTGATGAATCAAACAACCAAAGGTTGCAATATCCATGATTCTATGATAGTGTATGTACATACATCATATGAGCTGCGAACCATATTTGTTGCATAACGCAATTGACGGGGTGTTCCTACCTCGTTCTCCAGTCCCGCAACGTTTTTGCCTACCTCGTTCTCGGGGTGTTCCTACCTCGTTTTACAAGCTAAATATGATGTTTTTGACAAACCGGGGTACGCCCGAATACTACTTTCCATATACGCAAATATACTTTCCATATATATATATAAATAGAGTATGTGTACAGATCTGTACTCGGAAAGAGAGGGAGAGAGATAGAGACCCCTTCCTTGAAACGTCTCCAGTCTCCAGGATGACTTTCCAAGTCGAAAATCACCGCAATCTCTGAGCCCTCGGAGCCCTCGGAGCCCGGGCTGTGTCAAGCCGAAGTCACAAATCTTGGCATTGTAAATGCGGTCCAGGACGATGTTAAGCCTTAGGACAGTTTTTCAAGTGAGGACTTATATGGACTTATCAAAGCACCTGTTTTCCACCTGAGCACAGCACGATTTCAAGTCACGGTGCACGACTGGGGGAGAACGACCGTGCAAGAAGTCGACCCCTTCGCAAACCTCAGCACTGAGGCTGATCTCTTGCTGTCCTCTTTGAGCATACTGAAAAACTGACAACATTGGAAATCATTAGGCACATTCGGCTTGTCTGAAAATAAGCTACACCAACAAATATGATGGTTGATCATCATGTTTCCCATATTTTTCCTATTACATAAATAAAGTGGTGGTATTGCTGTAGTATCCCCTATTAAAATGGACACCAATTGGCATTCTGCGGAATGATTCTGCCTGGAGGGCCATCTTGGATTGCGTTGCCAAGGTCAATGGAGTCCTTGCCTTGCAGAGATGACCCGCAAAACCAAGCTGATTCAAGAGATCAGCAACACATTACCATGTTACCTGTTGACAGTACCACTATGTGCCACTCAAACCAGGTGTTTTTTTTAATATTTTTAAATAAACTAGCAGTAAACTGATAATCCAGAACCTTTGCCCAGAAGACCAGCCACAACGTTTTCATGCAACGAAGGCGGCTGGACATCAGTGATAAGCTGCCTTGTGAAGCAAATGATGCAAAGAACCTCCAGCCATGAACCTTGCGTCTGCAGCAAATTTCCAAATCTCATTGGCTGCTGGCTCAGTTGCGATGGCTGGGCTTTGGATCAGTAAATGGGATCACCTTTTTCTCAGAGCATGTTCAAGCCTTTTGGTACAAATCAGAATCTTACTGGCAGCCTGGCAGCATTCTGCTGGCAGAAAATGATCCGAGAAGATTGGGGCTCAGAGAAGTAGTTTCTCGACCGCTTTCTCTGCGCAATAATGCTAGATAAGGTATCAGAAAGCAGCATGGTGGAAGGGGCGAGTATGGTGGTTACTGCTCACAATATCTCCTTCATGTTTTTCGCCCCGTTTGCCAACCATGTGCTCTCTCTCTGATTCGGAGTAACATGTTCATTTAGATGGCGAACATGTTCTTCAACAAATTCAAATTCTGATGTAGCCACCACTGAAGGACATCAAGGGAACAGACTGATCTGACTCCTCAATGAATTCAGTTTGGTCTACACAATGCCAACAAGAGGGGCAGTTCCTCGAAGAGCTTCTGGAGAGCCATTCGTCAATGCAAAAGGCATGGAACTGGGCGGGGTCGTCAACAAAAACAACCAGGGGTTAAAATGGGGATAGAAGTGGATGGAAATGGCATCGTCTAAATACTGCCACGTGAAGGGGTTTCGGATAAATCAATATAAATCATATCTACGTATATTATGTATATATTTATTTATAATGTGTATGTGTAGTATTCGAAGTGTTATACTTGTGTAAATAAATTAATTATATGCATTACAGTAGTGCAGTAAATTATGAGAGTCATTTCCAGCTGTATAAGGCATCTTCATGCGTTGATCTGTGCTGCGAATCCAAACGTGTGTAGATCCAAGCACTCTAAAACTCAGCGGTACACCGTGATCAATTCTGCGTACAAAGAGTAAATGTCACTTCACAAACCCCAATGCCAAACATATCAAACATGTTCACTTGGCATTGTACACGGCATTATTTTAACATATTATTTTAACAAGGGATAATGGCCGTTCTTAGACCTGGAATTCGGAATTGTCGTGCTTTCAGTTCATCCTGAACTGGCTAGATGGATTTTGACCTTAAGTCATTCATGGGGGGATAACGGATAACCCTACACAACCGCATATGCAACTTGGCGATCCAAAGTTCAAGCAGGGCCAGGCCTTGTGAAGGCAGGGTAGGACGCAAAGTGCTTCGCCTTCTCGAAATTCTTCTTGGCAAACACTGCAGTCCTCATGACATGCTGCTGTCACCACACTTTGGCGAATGCTTCAAACATTCACGGGCAGCTCAAACAAAATATTGGAGAGAAACATAGAGAAACGGCATCTCCATGCTTTGCAGGACTTGCCTCAAGAGTCATGCTACACGACAAACATGAATCATCGTGAATCAACATAATCAACTCGGGGTGGCCGGGTTTGCAATGACTCTGTCTGCAAGTTCAAAGTTAACGCACCACAACTGTCCTTGTTGCTGCTGTCCATGCTGGAACGGTAGATGATAGTGACCATCCTGGTCGCCATGAGTGTGCATTATTTCAGCACAACAAGCAGGGCAAGGAAGGGCCTGGCCTGTCAGTGTGGTGGGGCACCACATGCTGCCCCCTTCCTGACACCCGAGATGACCCGAGATGACCCGAGATGACCCGAGATGACCCGAGATCACCCGAGATCACCCGAGGCCAAGACATCGTGACTTGGAGATTGAGACACGTCATGAGTCTGTCTGAAAGTGCCGTAAAAATATTTTGGTAGGTAGTGATGATTCAATGGTGGACGTTGGGGTACCCTAATTTTTAGACCAACCCATATCTTTTACTTTTGTAGCACCACAGAATACCATCACTGAAGTCATTGCAACCCAAAATTAACAAATGTTATCAATAATCAAGACAGAATTACGGTGAAGACAGTACCTCTTGCAGATCATAGAGGCCAAAGAAAAAAACCACGCATAAAGGGGTCCAAGGCCGTGACCATCTCGCATCTCGTAGGGGGTTCGACCAAAGTTGTTCCGCAAATACGGATTTGCTTTGAACTTCCTGGGCCAGAAAACAATTCAAACTTTGGGATATATGTTTGCATCATGGTTTCAGGAAATTTCAGGAAATGATGGGAGGGATTGAGTGAGCGGCAGTGAATCCACAGGAATATCTGCAAGTGGCCGATTTCAAATACAATAAACTAGTACAGGAATCTCAAAAATTCTCAAATTGTTCTGGAAGTTGACTTGGGAGACCAATTTGCCTACTTGGAGTTTCCCCAAATCTTTACCCAGCATGGAACTAGAATGACAAAGTCCTAGCACTTATGATATCTTATGACATCAAGGATGCATAAATCATCATAAATCCAGATCCCAATCGAAGGAATGCCCAAATCTGAAGGCCAGGGTCAAGAGAATCTGCGCAGACTCTGGGCGATCAACGTCAACGGCAAAATGAAGAGGTGTACTACCTGCTGCAGCTGCTGCAGCTGGCATCCCCCTGAATTTTGGTCCATTTGCAGACTGGGAATTGCATGAACTGGGACCCTATCCAAACACATCAAGCATAGTGGATCATAGTATTCATACTGGTACATTGCTACATTATGGTACATGAAATCCGCCGACCCCTGCCTACCTTTGGCCTAGGTCACCGCAGGTGTGCGGCATTGCTGCGCGCAGGCCTTTCCATTTACTTTGCTTCTCTTCGCCCGTCCAAACTGGTAGGTTCCACTAGGGCCTCCTTGCACCGCCTCCGGGGCTCCAAGCTGCTATTGCCCCACCTTCCCCAGCCTTCAAGCTGCCCGGTCAGGTATCTATTAGCGGTATCGAAACTGCCGTTTGGCAGTTGTGGTTCTACTAGGTTTTCACTAGGCCCTCCTTTCTACGTTCTACTAGGGCCAACCCTTGCCCCACCTTCCTAAGCCTTCCAAGCTGCTAGGTTCTACTAAGGCCTTTTCGCACCACCTTATCCAGCCTTCCGAGCTGCCCGGTCATGTATCTATTCGGGGTTTGGGTCTACTAGGCCCAGCCCTTGCCCCAATTTCTTAAGCCTTTCAAGCTGCTAGGTTGTATACTCCAAGCTGCCCGGTCATGTCTCTTCGAAGCTGCCGTTTGGCACTTTCCGTTGCCGTACTAGGGCCTCCTTGCTAGGTTCTACCAGGGCCTTTTGCACCACCTTCTCCAACCTTCCAAGCTGCCCGGTCATGTATCTATTCGGGGTTTGGTTCTACCCCACTTTCTTACGCCTTCCAAGCTGCTAAGTTGCCCGGTCATGTCTCGATTAAGGGTTTTCGAAACTGCCATTTGGCACTTTTTGTTCTACTAGGGCCAACCGATGCCCCACTACTCGACCTCCTTGCCCCATCTTCTTCCAAGCTGCAAGGTTGTACTAGTCTCCTTCCCCACCTTCTCAAGCCTCCAAGCTGCTAGGTTCTTCGGTGCCCCCACCTTCTGAAGCCTCCCAAGCCAATGTTCTCAAGCCTTCCAAGCGGCTAGGTTCTACTCCAAGCTGCCCGGTCATGTTTCTATTAAGGGTTTCGAAACTACCGTTTGGCACTTTTGGTTCTACTAGGGCCAACCGCTGCCCCACCTTCTTAAGCCTTCCAAGCTGCTAGGTTTTACTAAGGCCTCCTTGCCCAACTTCAGCCTTCCAAGCTGCCCGGTCATACATGTATTTATTGATGGTTTCGTTTGGCAGTTTTGGTTCTACTAGGGCCGCCCTTGCCCCGCCTTCTTAAGCCTTCCAAGCTGCTAGGGTCCACTCCAAGCTGCCCGGTCATGTATCTTTGAAGGGTTTCGAAACTGCAGTTTGGCACCGCCGTCTGAAGCCTTCCAAGCTGCTGGATTCTACTAGCGCCTCCTTGCCCCACCATCTGAAGCGTTCCAAGGCCTTGCCCCACCTTCTTTGGCCTTCCAAGCTGCTAGGTTCTACTCCAAGCTGCCCGGTCATGTCTCTCTTAAGGGTTTCGAAACTGCCGTTTGGCACTCTTGGTTCTACTAGGGCGAACCCTTTGCCCCACCTTCTTAAGCCTGCCAAGCTGCTAGGTTTGCTGGGGCCTCCTCGCCCCACTTTCTCCGGCCTTTCTAGTGCTGTTTGGCAGTTTTCGCTCTACTAGGGCCAACCGGCCCCACTTTCTTCGGCGCTCGTATGGTTCTGCTAGGGCCCTCCTTGCCCCAAGCAGCTAAGTTGTGCTAGCGCGTCCTTTCCCCACCTTCTCAAGCCTCCAAGCTCTATTAAGGGTTTCGAAACTGCCGTTTGGCACTTTTGGTTCTACAAGGGCCTCCTTGCCCTACCTTCTCCAGCCTTCCAAGCTGCCCGGTCATGTATATATTTATTCGTCACTGATGGCGGCATTGAAGCTGCTCACTCAGCCTCTACGATGGTCGGACTGCATTGAACCCGACGGCTGCATGCAGTAAAACAAAATCCCAAAATTCCCAAACTTGCCCTTTAACAGGGGGTCGGCGGCACCCGGTTGTCAGCTCCAAGCCTTGATCATTTGTCACGTTTGGATTGATTCCTTGGATCCCAAATGATTTTTGGGTCTCAGCACCGCAAATCAGCTTGCACGATATTGCACAATCTCTCGCCTCTATCCAGCACAAAAACAACAAACACAGGGATGCAAGATGATGCAAGTGTCCTGTCTCCAGCAGCATCCTCATGATGTTCGTATTCCCACGTAGGGCTGCAATGTGCAAGATGGACCTCAATCGCCGTGGACCGTTGCTTTGCAGAGAAACGAAGTGTCCCAGCACTAGCTCAGTGAGAAAATGTGTTGAATAACATTCAGACATGACCAACTCTTAATCTCCTGAGATCTGATTTGGTAACCTCAATCCGCTTCGGTTTACTATGTTATACTATGTTTACTGAATTTGGAAACCCGCAACTGAGTGAACGACAAAGCAATACGCGTGTCTTGTCCCGCATCTCCATCTTCACCGCTTCCGATCATGGCAGTGAGACCTGCCTGATGTGGCCTGTCTGGCTGCAGTGATCGCGGGCCAAGGTGCGTGTTTCTGGAAACAAACTAAGGACGAAGATGGATGTTGGATTTGGTGGTCCTATTGATAGATGTACAGAAAGACTGTGAAGACTGTGAAGATACAAGAAGAATACCAAAAGCACTAAGACATACTAAGACACTAAGACCGAACCAAATGTTGCCAGCAGTTTTACAGAATTGGTTTGATCTGGACACCAATGGCTTCAGGGTCAGTTGGCCTAAGGCTCTGACAAATGTGGCCACAAGTGTTCGCGAACAGATTTGGCACTCACACAGCGCAGCCAGCGCTTCACGGCTGCCTCATCAGACCTTCGGACCAAGGCTTTCAAATCCACCTGTGGCGAGGGCAAAATGGGCAAACACTCTTTGTTTATCTTTGTCTGGAGTTTGGAGAAACCTGCTGTAGCGCCTGTGTGGCAAAGTCAAAGTCCGTCATGTTGTCGTAGCTCACCTGCTCCTCGAGTCTCATGCTGACAAGGATCTAGACTGGATCTAGATGGGATGAGAATCGATGAAAATTGTGGAGCTAGAAACAGGATGAAAATTGTGGAGAGTTCACACCTGTTTGGCTGGCAACGATACCTAGCGATCGTATTCCAGGGATTTCTGGGGCTCCTCTTCAGCTCGTTCAGCTGCATGCTCTTCTTTCGGTGCTGGTGGAATCTCGGCCTGTGACAAACTGCAAGCAGGAGAAGGCTGGGTTGGAGGCTAAGAACATCGTGTCTTACCATGTCTTTACTATCTCTCAGGCACTGGCTGCAACCTCCTGGTCAAGATCCTCAACCTGGAAAAGGCTTGCGCGGTCGAAGGTCAGTTGAAATGCGTTGCGTTTAATCGATGCTTGATGATTACTGTGAATCCATCAAAAAGGGACAAATGACAGGATCAGGTCTTCTCTAAAATGCTATGTGTCCACAAACGCAGTATGGTCACGTCAGTCAGTCCAGAGAAAAACAAAAAATCAAATGTATCTTCTCTATAATGCTGTGTGTTCACAAACGCAATATGGTCACGTCAGTCCAGAGAAAAACAAAAAAAACACATGTATATAGATTCTTATAGGTTCTATAATGTTCTATAGATGGTAAATACAGAAATTTGCCATTCTGATAAAGCTCCGAATGCTTCTTCTGGATCTTTCTTGGCCTTAAATTTTGACCACCTTTGATCCATGTCCAAGCCATTATATACTATACCAAGAAACTACTATCTCAGGCTCTTCAGGGAGCTTTGGAGCAGCTGGAACTCTTCTTGGATAAGCCTTGAGGGGCAGAATCTCATCGCCACTGAAACAAGACTTTTGAAATGGTCAAACGATAGCCTGGTGGAATTAGATTCATCAACATGAATAAATATTGTAATTAGTTAATCAGGCAAAATACTGTGAACCGTCTTCAATTCTGCTTCACAAACATAAAACCCAGCACTTGGCTTCAAAAAATCACGCCATTTTGCTGTGGAGAAGCCTCCATACTGGCCGGTGGTTCAGGAGGGAGCTTCTCCATTTCTATCGCCTTTCCCGACAGCATCCTGAGTTCAGCCACAAACTGTCAAGTGTAGGGAAAACAAGATTAATGCGACTCATGCTGAGTTCAAGGACATCATCTGCATGCTTGATTTCGGAACATTTCTGATACATTGTACTCCTGTACTGAACGAGGGATCCATAGCCATATAGGCCATATCTAGCCTGCGGATGTATGCCTTGCCCTCAGCAATGTCCCCGGCATCCCAAGCGTTCTCTCTGGACATGTCCTCCAGGGGAAGCCGTATAAATTAAGAGATCACCATCACATCCATCACCAAAAGAATATGATGATACTGCCAAATGTGATTAATTATACAGTACAGCACTGTACAGCAATGATCATTTGAGCTCCGCCTTGGCATTTCTTCCAAAGCAATTCCTGATCTCAGCCGATGCTCCAGCCTTCAACGGGTGTCAAATGAAGTTTCCACATGGGTGTGTCTGACAATTGTGTACCCCCAAATGGCTATTCCAATAGGAAATATGATGATAAACCATGGGATTCTGGGGGTATCCTGTTTTCAAACAAACCCAAATTGGACTTGAAGTGTGGAGCGCACGCATGGATCATCTTGACTTTCTCGCTCTCTGCACGTGACCGAATAACCAGTCTCGCTTTCCATTTGAAATGCCCCAAAAGTGTGAGTTGCAGCCTTGCAACAGCTGCCAGTTGGCTTCTCAGCAGTGAAAACATGATTCTTCTGGCAAGACTATCGAGTGGATACGAGTCACATACCTGGCCATACAGTGCCTGAATTGTATTTAATTGTGGTCCAAATCTTAGTGGTTCCATATGTTTCTCCCGGTTTAAATCTATCTACCTGCCACTGTCCATATCAATATACTTATTGCGTATAGACATGTACTTCTTAAGTATGATATGATATATATATATATACATATTACTAATATATATAATATATTATACATAATATAATATGTATAATATATTATACATTATATATATATAGTATTTCGATCATTTATATAGCTACGGGTCAAAACCCTGGCAACCTTTTGTGCAAACCAACATAGCTTCTATGGCTGGATGTCCATCCCCCAAAATATGGTTCTATAGGTACCGACCCATCCCGATATTGTAATCTATGTTCATCTCATCCAACTTTTAATCGGTTTGATTTATAGTTGGTTAATACACGTCCCATTATGTCACGACTACTATCCCATTACATACCGTATGTTCATCTATTTTCTAACAGGATGAGTGAATGTGACCTATTTTTTGAACTCCCCTATTTTTTGAACAGGCAAAAGGTTGGACCAATGATACCAATGGGACTATTAATATCAGATCTATCTGGTCCAACCTTTGGCAGTGTGTCAAAACCTTGTACCCCTGGTGAACATCAAAATAGCTGGTAAATGGATGTTCATTCCCCTAAAAATGGTATTAATAGGTATTGATCCATAGCCCTTTGACCATGGCACCTCCAAGAGGCACTTCGCTGCTCGCGCCCGGCCCAGATCTGAGGCCAAATGCCTTGGCGCGCCAGCTGCATGGGAACCCTGTGCCCGTGTTTTCCGTGGAATTTCTGGGGAAAACGGTAGCTAAAACAGGAACCTTGTTTCATTTGTGGCCTCAATATGATCAGAAAATCATTGAAGTAGGTTCTCATAGTTTCTATATTTAGTTCATGGAGGTTTCTGGATGTCCATGGTGCACTTCACAAATGTGTTTCATTTTTGTTGACCGCTGTGTCTGCTCCAGGTTGCAAAGGAGTGTTGCCTTGATCATCAAGTACATCAACGCTAACCTAAGCCACAGAGACAAGCTGCAAATCAGCAAATGTCACTTAGATCACTATGGACTCTGGAAGTGATCGCCTTGGCCTGCTCAAAGTATCAATCTTGGCTACAGAATGCAAGCAAAGAAACTCCTTCCTGCACGAAGCGCTCGATAATCTGTGCCCTTCCGCGCATCGCTGCACGATGGATGGCCGACTTTGCGTTTCGTCCCTAGCAGGGTTCAAGGTGATGCAGGGTGTATCCTTGAGAACAGCCGTTGTCAAGCATCAAATCAAGAATCGTGCGGTATTGTACAGTAGATGATATAGTAATATATAGTAGGCGGTTGTGTTTGCTTCTGCGTGGACAACAAGTCTTCTTTGAGGAATTTTGGGAGATTAGACGAACAATGGTATGCTTCTGCCCCTGTCAACGGTGCTTAGTTTGGCCCACGACTGTAACCCCTTGGTTTTTTTGGGAACAACCCAAAAATTGGCTTGAGGAAGGCAGCGATTGGTATAAGTACTGCCTGCGAAAGCAGGTATTCATTAGTTTAAAAATATTTAAAAATAACATTGAAGAAATGTATTCACACAATTTCACAAACTCGGTCATGTGGGCCATTTCCTAGCTGTGATCTCGCCTCATGTTCGCAAGTTGTGATCTCGTTCAGAAGCGCCTCCTGAAGTCTGTGTTGAGAGCAGCTACATGCTTCTTTCGGAAAAAGGGTATAGAGACATGCAAAGACCTTATTCAGCACCACCGAACTATTTCACACAAGAAAACTGATTTAGCCCATTTAGATCCCATTTAGTCTAGTCATGTCTAGTCTAGTCTTTCTAAGCTCCTCTCCTTTGAGTCAAAAACCAACCAAACACAATCTCGAAGTCTTCAATGGATGACCGCGCCTTTCCCCTTTCCTTGTGGACTTTCTGCAAATAGCGATCAATTCCGGGCAGGTCGTTGTCTCCCACCAACTCCAAGAGTGCCATGGCTTAGCCAGCGGCAGATCTGGATTTCCAACACTATTTCTTATGAAAATTACTATGATCTACTATTGCCATCTACCATGATATTGATATGATAATATCATATCCTATGTCCATGGTCCATGGATCAAAACTAGCTTAAACCGCCAACGATTCCGCCGCTTTTTTTTTGACCTCAAATCTGGAATCAAATTGTGTATCCGCCATGCTGGGCCAATGGGATCCAATGGGCCCTATCATTTCAGCTCGAGCCGAATCGACAAATCGCAGGACTCCGCGCAGTGTTGCTGCGGCCACCAAGTATGTAAAACTGCACGGAATGTACCGATGTCGACACTGAAGTCTGAAAATGTGTAAACATGTGTAAACGCATGTAAACGCAATGTGTTCCTGTTAGAGCCTTTGATACAACTAAGCTCACCACTCTGTGATGATGCAAATGTTGGGCGGTTGCAAGCACCTTGAGCTTGTCAGCGGCTGGTCAGCATTTGTCAGTTATGTTTTCCCACGATTTCCCAAGCAAAAAGCGGGTAGATGCTGCTCTCTTCAGGAGCTGAGCTTGTGACGCTCCAATGAAACTTACCAACCGTGGATGATTCAGACCTCAGCAAACGCCCATGCGCGGATTGTTCATACCCGTCACACGGGTTACCAAATCTTGGCATGTCTTGAACATGAAAACACGTGAAAGCCAAATGATACTAATACAGTATATGACGGTTTGTCAAAATGTCTTCTCCTGGTCTGGTTGATAAATCGCAATTCCTTGCGTGCGGCTTCTTGTTTGGCCTTTAAAACTATGACTTATCTAAATAGTCTGAAACCCTGCATTTTATCGTTCATGTTTGAAGCCGTAGCAAAAGCCTGCAGTAAATGCTAACGCACGTCGATATGATATGGGCGCCGCTGCTAGTTATGAGTGGTGGGACTGGAATATTTGTTCATCTGCTGCAGGGCTTGTCGTTGCCTCTGCTGTCACGCTTTTGTCAAACAATCGGGATAAACTACAAGTTCTCTGCTGGCGACTGGGTCACGGGTCAGCCAAAGCCTTTTTTTAACTTTTGCTAGTGCATTGCTAGCGGGGATCTAGCAGGTAAACTTACGTGGCCGAAAAGCACCCAGATGAAGCTGAGCCACTGCGAAGAGCAGCAACTTCTTTCCGCAGTTCTTCAAGAAGCAGAGGAGAGATATTGCCTCAAGATCTCGAGCTGGATAATTGCCCACAAGGCTTCGCTTCACAGATGACTCTGCTTAACTCTTTGCGAGTTGTCAATATATAAATCAAAATGATCGCAGCATTCTTTTTCAGGGCCTCCATCTTCGCAGAAGAGCTTCTTGATGGCAACCTGCAGAAAGTGTTCCCTGACTTTCCTCCCAACTCCAAAGTCTTTCACAACTTTGCAAGAGAAGAAAGCAAAACAAATCAAATCAAGTCAAACAAGTTCTAGCCTCTCTGGGCTGACTACATCATCACCATCGCTTTGTTCTGACTTTAGGGGGTTTATGGGTCTGACATTGTGACTAGACGCGTGACGGTTTGCGGCCAACCGGATCAAGCTGTTCTTCTATTCCAAGTTGTCAAATCTGGCATGACTCCCAATACACCCATGCAATGAAGTGGCCGAAGCATGGCCTCGCATCATATTCCGATAGTCAGTCCTTCAAATCAAGATTTCTACCTACCGTAAACTGCCGGTCTTCGCCTCTCTACTGCTCAAATAACCGCGGTAAACTGCTCCAAATCCGCCCGAGCCAAGGCAATCCTTTTGGATGAGCCTTGAAAGCCAGATGAGATTGGAAATGGACATAAATGGACATGATTCATCTGTTGCTGGGAGAAGTTAACGGCTATGGACTGTTCCAGGGTCATCCGTGCGAGTACCTATGGATCTGTCTAGATCACCTGCGGGTTTTAGCCCTTTGTCCAGACCGCAAATTTTGAGGCGCAGCCATGTAGGCACCCTGGGCTCTTTGTTTTATGTCCCTTCCCATATCTTTTATTACATATACTGTACAGTATTCTTACATATTCTTACAGTAGCCTAACCTAATATCCCAAACAATCCAAGTCACCTCACCTGTCAAGTTTCAAGTGCACCGGGTGCCACTACAGTTCCTAACAGTCGCTGCTCATAGCGCCAGGCTGGCTGAAGTCAATCATTTCGTGCTTGTGGAGCAAGAGCTGCTGGCCTGGTGCATGGCACACATCAAAAACCATATCGACATGAATACAGACTATTCTAAGTTGCTTGCAATGAATGCATGCCAGTGTATATGGTATATCTATATAATTATGATGTTAGGATGTAAGTATCATATTTATATTCAATACATATATATATATATATTATAGAACTACACATATGTAAGTTATATGTTCCGTTAAATAAAAAAGAACAATATGTTGATACAGTTTATATATAATAATTATCCGTATAATCATGTATTATAATGTTGTGTATGTGTTATCTAACATGTGTTGTCAATGCTATAAATCTTGTATCTGTTATATATGTTGTATGTGTTACATGTGTTATTTATGTGGATACATATTGGCCCTTTGATACAACGCTGAAGCTGGCCTTCATCCGGCTTCTCTGCCTTCGCCACTGGCGGCGAAGAGGCAGGTGGAGACATCCTTCGCGTCATCCATTGAGGTTGGTCATGTCCAAAAAAACATGACATGTGAAAAAGTCAAGTTATATAGCTGAAATGGATCCAAATGGGACATTTACAATCACTCTAATCATTTCATAACATACATTTACCACACTGATCCGTCTTTCTGAGTCTGTCTGCTTATGTTTCTCTGATAACACCCGGTCCATTGCCGTCTTTCCGGTGCAGCCGGTGTAGGAGCCGGTGCTGGAGCCGGTGTAGGAGCCGGTGCAGCCACCTTGGAATGAAAAATTGGTCCCATATTGCCACATGACAGGTTGAGTGCATACAAATGTGTTTAAACATGTGTGGGCAACCTGTGGGACCTGCCCTTCTTGACATTGAAACACTAAAAATAAAAAGTATCTCCCGAGACAATATCTCCTCAGACAATTGTTGCTTGGAGTCAAGTCAAACTCAGCTGTTGGCCCAAGCCCTTCGGTCCTTGCAGAGAGGACTTATCATATGAATCATATGATGTGTTTTGACGAAGCATCCCAACTTTAGCGGAAGTTCTACACTTTCAACTTGAAGATCTACTGTATACATCTGTATACTCAATCATATTAATGTACACTCATCAAAGTCAAGTCCAAACATTAAACAAGCTTTGGAAGTGGGAAATGTATGGAAATGTGCCGTAGCATGCCCTGGCACAAGCACTGCACCTGGCCATTTCCTACTGCGGACTGGGCGAACCTCAGTGCATCTGTAGTCAAAGAATCTTTCAGGAGAACAAACACAAAAAATATCAAACAAGTCTGTCACCTAGTTTCTTGTAATTAATATTTTAATGTCCTCCGCTTTCGGGCAACTCACTTGATTAGAATCTAAACACCATCGCGCCACATCCTAACGACTGCGAACAACCTCACAAGCTTGACTTCTGGGTGATCTTGGGTGCAAACTCGCTGTTTGCTTCAGTGCCTGCTTCCAAAGAATCAAAGACAGGGAGGCAGCTGTATGTTTTGCAGGATAAAATAATGACAGAGGGCAAATCATGATGGATCATGATAGATCTATAATGTTTGTGGTGTGCAGGGTACAGGTACTACGGTTGTAAAAACGTACCCTCAAAACATATACAACAAAAAGTTCTGCAATGCTCCACTTACATCACTTACTTAGTTACTCCTTGAAGACGAGTTTTCCGTACCTTTCCACCTATATCACCTATGGATGCCAAGTGTAGTTTCCCCATGTTGTGCCGTTAAAAGCTGTTGACAGCTCAGCTGTTGCAACACAACCAGCCTGCAGTGGTACTCGGTGTTTTGCCTGAAACAATTCCGGCACCTTGATCCCGAAGGCCCAACTCCAGCTCCTGCAGCCATAGATGCCATAGGACAACAGCTCCAAAAACATGGGAAATCAATGGGAAATCAATGGGAAATCACTATGTCACCATATGTCACCGTATGTCACTATGCTTGGGAAATCTTGGGAAATCTTTAAAATTGTTTAAAACATGTTAAAACCATTCTGGGAGGACTGGTCTTGTGACCCCAGTCACTGTGGAACCCATCCCGCCACATCCTTGGCCATGAGCTCAACAAGCTGCCAGGCCTGTCATTTCACTGATTTGAAGTGAGAAGGCACCATCAATCACTCATTCCTGGACATCCTGCAATTGGGACATGATGTTTACTTCATCTGCCCTGAACGTTGGCATTCTCTAACCGTACGATTTCCTCAATCTGTTTGCAGTGGAACCCACCAAAATCTTGGAGCTGGCCTGTGCCAAGGTGATGTCCAAGTCCGGAATAGCCTTCAGCTTGTGCACCAGACCATCACATTCGCCTCCCACAAGCTTTCCAGTTGCTAGGGCAGGTTGGCATGTCTGGAGAAGTTTCACCACAGGGCGGGGCAATGTAAGAGACTTACCAAATCCCGCTTGGAGCATGATCAAGATGGTACGAGGCTGCTAGCAAACTAAAAATATTTGGGATTACAATATCAATTCTTGACTGATTGTTTTGCTGAATCCCATTAAACTTCCTAAGTGGCAGACTTGGTTCCGTTTTAATCTTCCGTGAAACTGCCGCATTGAAATTCCCAAGTGGTTAGTTGAGGTTCTCAGCTCCTGCCTTTCACAATACTGTCCTTGCCAAAGGCACAGAGTTGCTCGAAGTTCCTGCGCAGGATCGGCTGTGCATGGGCAGAATGTATGCTGAGAGCCAACTAAGAAACATCGCTTCCACCACAGATCCATGGTCAACTGCCTTTTATAGGTTCAATGGAACTGAAGGGAGAAAAAAAACATGGAACCCTCAAAACCTTACTCCTCTTTCTTCCAAATGTTGTCGTGCAAAATCTGTTCCATGACTGTCCTGTGGCTTTTTCGGGCTTCTCCAAGTTGGTGCAAGGCAGCATCCATGTCCTGAATCTGTTGCGTCTCAGGTTATGACATTTCTGTCTCTTTTGATGGTTAAGCAAAAATATGTTTAGAGATTATGATTTAGATACTTCCTAGCATATGTGATGCAAATACAGGGCACTTCCCCAAAATTAGAAGATTGATGCGTGCCGCCCTTTGCCTTCACAAAAAATTACAACTTGTGAGTCCAAGATGTTCTTGTCCGAAATTTGATCACAGATTCAGTTTCAGGCTTCTTTGACATAGCCGGATAATCTTGACACCCCAGAACGTCAGCAGCTGGAGCCGCTTGACCCAGTGACCCCCACCTGTTTGCCCATCAAAGCTAGTGCCATGTAGATCCGCGCACAACCCTTGACAGAACCTCAGAGGCCAAGATTAAATGAGGAACTTTCAAGCATCGAGCCTGTACAAGTGATATCCTAGGAGACCAAATCAACGCATATTGCGCTTTTTTACTAATAAATACTAATAATATATATATATATATAAATAATGTATATTACTAGTATATATAATATGTAATTCAAGGATAGATGTCCAAAAGCAAGCGGGCCTCTTGCTTAGTCACCCGAATACAAAGTGACTATAAATCCCCACTGGCTGAGTGGCCCAACGAGGAAGAGCTACAGTGCCAACCCGCTGCTGAAGAGCACGCTGGAAGTACATGATGGCCTGATAAACCCGCAACTTCACACCATGAGATGTCCAATCAAAACACCATACAATGTTTAACCGGACAAGTTGAGAAAGTCAAGAGTTCCAAAAGAACGACTGCATGACAAGTACAGTACCAAGAAACTCTGCCCACCTTCTAAACAATCTAGTATGGCGATGTATGGCGATGTATGGCGATGGATGGTGCATTGCAGTGCATGACTTTGCCCAGCTGCATGTTTTAGATCGTCCTCCCCTTAGTGGTCGCCATTGCCATGGGGAGCCTCTTGGTGATCCCCGGACAGCAATTTGCAGTAGCCAAGTCGTACCAAAGCCAACGCCTGAGACTGAAAAAGACGTGAACGGTGGGGTACAAAAAGGATGGTAGCCGTCAACCTCATCAAACATCACCTGGATATATGATCAGTTTCAAGAAAATGCTTAATTATAGTGAATGTCAAATGGTGAAGGCTTTACTACTTGATTGTGGAATCATCACTAGACTTGGCTGGAAACAACCTGTTGGAACCTGCTCAGGAAACGCCTCATGAGGACATAAGCCATAAAAGCGGATCTCAGATTTTCTCATAGCCGAATGTGACCATTTTGTCATAGCGGTCGCGCGCTTTCCGGTCAAATGAGTCCACACAGACGTGATCTGAGGAGAGCACATGGTTCTTCATTATTGCTAGCGCTCTTCTGAAGAATGTCTCTGCCTCACGAAGCTCTAACATCAAATAACCAGCGAGACATAAGCTCGGCTCAAATATCAATTGGTGGTCAAGAGCAAACGCTATCATCTTGCTTTACAGTCGTTACGAAGCGAGTTCGCGTGATTTCACATCTGGTGCGCAACTACCAATGTCATCTTTTCTTCGGATCCTGTCTTAAGCTGCTTGGCAACTCATGCCGAATCAGCCGCCCCATAATGCCCCATGGTTTCCTCGTCCAAGTTCTTCTCCTGCATGTGAATGACACCTTGCGTAATCAGGGATGAGGCCTCAGTGGCCAACAAAACGCACATCTCTCTGGTGAAAGTCTCAAAATATGTCAAGACCTTAGCCGCCTTATGCCGCCTTAGCCTCGGACATGCGACGGGTCCTGCTTCAGGGCCATAGAAAGCCTCAGGGATAATCAAGTGAGCGGCATTTGATGGCATTGGTTAAGGCATTGGCTCTTATTTTAAATCAATTTAAGAGATTTGAAGAAGAGATGGGAAAAGAAGATGCTGAGCCTCAAGAAGTACAGCTGAGCTGAGCTGAGCTGAGCTGAGCAGAGCCACTCGGCTGTCGCGTTGGTGTATTCACCTTTTCGCTCGTAGGCCTGCAAATCTCTGCAATTCAAACAAGGCTGACAGCACATACGAAATCTGCGCTGTACAAGGCACCAAAACCAGAGCTGATTTGACGCTGACCTACGGTACCCATTGAGTGTTACCAGGGTCCAAATTGCGTTCAAAGCCATTGCCTGCGCCAACCAATCATGGATCTCCACTTTCAAGTTCTCGCTATCAGGACCCAAGTGATGGAAAGCCTTCCAGTGAAAGCATCTGAATCTCTCAGACCACTGTGGAAATGTTCTCTGACGTTGCAAAATGTAAATGAATATGATGAACGTGTTTCTGACATTTTCTGACCGCATCTCACTTCTCATCTGTGCACCTTGCTGGCACTCATGTGTGGACTGGGAACGTGACCCGTTTCAATGTTGCGATGGATGCGTCGAAGTCACCCATGCGATTTTTCACCAGGGCCAGAATGAAGAGGAAGTGGGGATGGTTCCTTACTGTCTACCGCACTTCCCGATGCAGTTTTTACAGTAACATCAAATTCATATCACTGGTCCAGAAATGAAAAATGGTCTGGCCACAAAGGACCCCGACGACTTCAGGGCCAAACCGCTTCGGGCTTGCTTCTCCGCCTGAAACGACCAAATGTATCCAAATGTGCTGTCAGAATTTCCAACACTTCAAGCCTTTCAGGTTTGGCCTCTTCGTACTGGTCCAAGGAGATGTGGGACTTTGCGAGCAAATACCTGCCGCTGGGCTCATGATGAAATCACTTCAAGTTGCTGTATTTCTGGATACAGGCTATAGGGATATAAGGATTCATATGGATTCACACAAGCAAGTCGTCCACCTTCTTAAGCCATTTTGAGCCCTACCCAAGAGACATACCTCTGCCACTTAGCCAGTCTTAGACTCGGGGCACAAGGCTCCTGTCTTGTACTCCGGTCCACAGTTCGTCTCAACCAGCCTTGCAAAGCTGGTGCACAGATCTTGGATCTGCAGTGAAACAGCCCAGAACCGGAATGAAATGAGAGCACCTTTGAAGAAATGCAGCTGAAAAGTAGAATCATTAGATATCATTAGCAACTGGCCACGCCTTTGAAGGTAGAATTGACTTTCTGCATGCCGGTGTTGGCGGTACAGGATGTCTCCTCAAGGGGATACCAGGGGATGCCGATTAAATTCCATTGCATCACTGAAACGCTGAGCATCGCTGACTAACCAGGCCTAAATAGTACAAAGGTCCTTCTGCAGATGCATTCACCTGACGGGGAGAGTCACAAGTCAATGTGAGTCAAGTCAAACACATAAAAAGGTGATGCAGCAAAATGCACAAAGCAGGGAGCCATCGAAAAAGACAATACCGGATTTCCATTTTGTGAACATCATCATCATCATCATCATCATCATCACGACAGTATCACTGCAAAATACTATATACTAATAAATACTAGTAATAACTACAGTACTTATACTTAGTTTGTTGAATAGATTATGTACGCAAATACTGCAACATGCACATCGCTGTGCCCCACCTTCAAGCACTGCTGGTAGAGCTGCACTGCCTGGCAAATGTTTCCAGGGTTTTCCACATTTCCTCACCATCTCGGATCCTGGCCAATTATGTCTAAGACGGAAAAAACTCCCACATATCAAGACCTTCGTTCCAGGCCATATGGATGAAGGAAAGGAACTGGCATGAACTGGCCCTGGGATTGATCCGAGTTGATCAGCAAAGACCTTCCTCAGCCGGGACTGGCGCCTGATCATGGTTGTTGCTCTTCCTATTGCAATAAGCAGCTCCTTCCAGTGCCTCACGTCGAACACATGCAACGTTTCGTCTCAGCTCTGACACTCTTCGCTTGACTTGAGAATTGAAAGGGGTGATACCTTGCGTTTTGAGCTTTGCAAAGACAATGTTTCAGAGTTTAAGCCACATCACATGACAACGATCTTCCTGTTGTAGTTTCATGTAGTTTCAGCAGAATTGAAATCAGTGGAATAATTTCAGTACATTCAACAATCAGTTGCCCATGGAAATTGATAAACCTCCTAGATCACTGGCGGGCCTCCAGGTTGTTTGGACTGACCTGCAGCACCTAAACACAGATGCGCGTTGTTTAGGTTCTATTCCTTCCCATCAAGAAAAACCCTGTCTGCATCTAACGCGGATGGACTGTAATCCATAATGGCTTCAAACAATTTTTCAAGTTTTGAAGTTTGAAGCTTGTAGGTCCTTCTCTAGCAACCCTCAATAGCAAAGTAAAATCCGAACATATAAAATAGTGGTATTTTTGGGTACTTTATGGCACTTTATAGGTTACCGTGTTTGTTCTTCAGCGAGAATGTGCAACAGCCGAAGACAGCGATCATTCGCCTGCTCGTAGAGTCGCTGAGCTTCTTCCAGGTTCCCATCACGCGAGCCATCCTTGAATCAGGGCATTGAAGGAGGATCTGGGGATGGGACAAAACCTACAATATTTGGGTGGAATATACAACATTATACAACATTATACAACCATCCATAACCCAACTATTTTAGGGTACCGAGGGTATCAGGGTTTTGACTCATAGTCATACAATGCCATATAGTTATGACATGTTGCAAGAGTTCAATACCAAAAAACTACGCAATCCAGGGTTCCACATTTCTACATGTTGAGAGTAATCAACATTAATCAACAACTCCAGGCATTTCCGCCTTACATCTGCATCTTCGCGGAGTTGTTGCCAGTTGGTTCAAGGGTGCAGTCCTGTCGGTGACATTGAGCCAACTTCAGGAGCGCAGGCGCGTTCTTGGTGTCTTCCTTTAGTACCTCGCAGTCCGAAAGTCTTTGGGCATAACTCTCCAAGCAGATCGGCTTAGATTACTGGGAACAACTGTTGGAAGGGAACAATCCTTCCCATTTGACTCGCGCGAAAAAGATTGGGTCTAGGAATCAAAGTTTGTGTCTGAAAATACTGTACCCAAACATCTAACGGTGAATTAATAATCATGTTCATTCATTTTCCCTAATTAATCAAAATTGATCAAAATTGCCTATTACCCATTTGATTCATAAACACACCCATTTGAGAAAGAAAAAATCCACACTGAGCAAGACATCAACCCTAGGCGTCGGGCCTCCTTCAGCAGCTCTTTGGCTTCACGAGGACGATCTTCAGACAACAGTAGAGAAGCATACCTGACCACCAAGCGATATCAAGCGATCTGATTGGGATATCTTCCCAGGGTTGACCTTGGCCAAAACAGTCACACAATCTGGCCAATCACAATCATTTTCTTATATTTTGGATGCGACAAGGGTGACTGCATAACCTTTTTCTGGGAATCCTTTTGTTGTGACAGCAAAGTCTTTGACACGTGGTACAGGTGTATTCCAAAAGCGATTCATGATGATGTGCCGTAAGTCACCCCAGGTTGCGTTAAGTCACCCCGGCCGCCTGTAAACACCTACTCGCTCTAAGTCGACCCAAGCGCATTAAGTCACCCCAGATTTGGCAAGACATGGCAAAACACAGTGGGCACATGTGGGCACACTATCTTACAGCCGGTACCCCATGACGTGTAACTACAGCAATTTCTGCAAGCATTTTGAACAACTCTATGGGGCACATCGTCTGAGTTGCAGGTGTCGTAGCACGGAGCTGCATCTGGTGCGAAGAGGTGCAGTTAGCCACCAACGCCATCTTCAGTTGTTTTTTCTGCGTTGCATACATCAACTAATATAGTACTTGTTGTTGTTCTTGATGTTGTTTTTCAATGTTTTTCATACAAACAATGCTGCAGTCATCATAGAAGGTCATAGCCCCACATCACAACATTGCTTCACCAACAAAGTCAGTGCCAGTCAGTAGCACATCAACAAGAAACGCAAAAACTGGTGATACGTTCACTGACTTAGGAGAAATCTACCGGAAACCATACAAGATTTACCATGTGGGGAAATTGTGGCTTCCAAGACATGGAAAAACAAACCGGCCAGCACCAAGCACCCAGGCCAAGCGCCGATGGCATTGATGCTGCCCTTTGGGATCTTTCAGCTGCTCGCAAATGCTGAGGAGCTTCTGCCACATCTGGCGTTGCAGCTTCTACCAGGTCTCCCCAAGGAAAAGATGAAACGCAACGGATTCTGATAGTTTGAAAGCACATTTGATCTTGATATGACAGTGATAAAATAATATTGATTAATTATAAAATATAGTAATGTACATAATGTCATGTAATGTTATGTCATATATATATAATTATATAATATTATATATATTATATACTTAATTATATATCATGTATTGTAATGCATTTAATGCAATGTCAGGAAAGGCAATGTAATGCAATGTAATGCAATGTAATGCAATGTAATGTCAAGTGTTGTAATGTAATGTCATGTCATGTAATGCAATGTATTGGAATGGAATATCATGTCATGTCATGTAGTGCAATGTGATGTCATGTCATGTAATGGAACCAATGTAATAATGCTATCCACAAGGCCTCTGCATCTTCTGGAAGCTCGTGTACAGCACCCTCGAGAGTTTGTTGAGCATCCTTCCGGCAAAATGACACAGAGCTGGTAAGGCGTAATGTCATCTACTGGTCGGATGAGTATCCATCGGCACCCCGATAGAAATCGGATGATTGACCATAGTTCCACCATGTTCCACCAGGAAACTGTCTGAAACCGTGCATCCACTCCCATCCGATCTCTGTGCAACTTGGCGCCTTCCAAGCGCTGATTGCACATTGCACTGCGGCCATCTGGCAGTGGCGGCAGCTCAAGATAGTTCCATTGAGACGATGTTGCTGTAAAGAAGTATTGGGCACATTTCAGATGCGCTTGAGCTCATTCAGGGACTCCTCAATCCTGTGAAGCAGAACTGATTCCAATTGCATACAATACCTACAACTTGCCGCTGGCTGGCTTTAAAACAAATCTGGACTGTCAAGTCCCAGAAAGAGGTCACGGAAAGTGAAACAAAAAAGCTCCTCGACCCTCGCCCCATTCCATCCCTCGCCTGCAAGTAAATGCTTCGAGAATCCACAGTGGTTGGTCGGCACTGCAACGCTGTTCGAAAGTAGTGCACCGCCTGAATGCTTGACTCATGAGTGCTGGGTGCTTGTTGGGGCAATGTACCAATATCTCCAAGCATACATATTTAGTCGGTACGGTGGAAAGGTGGTTGGCTCACCCTAGAGGAAGTGAGAAGAAAGCGACAAAACCAAAGAAGAACACATTCATTGAACGACTATGAAAAACATATTTGGGATGCTTCGCCATGCAATCGGCGATGCCAAACGCTCCAGGATCCGCAAAGATCGCACCTGACTAGCGCCACCGGGCCCTCTCTCTGCATGCAGCTGAGCTAAGCCTACAGGCAATGGAGCAAAAAGATGCAAATAATAAGGACCCCACCATGAAGGCACCACCAACCAACCTATCTATATAAAATTACATATGCCATCATATGCCATATATATAAATTCATTCAAAGTTCCACTTCCAAGATCTGCCAGTGGTCCTCATCTGCTGTTCTTGTGCCAGAAATCAGGTAATGCACAGCCTATGGACAATAGTTCTGTAAAATATTTAAGAACGGAATTTATTTTCCTACTCTCTTCTGCAAAGGAGCCCCCCCCTGCCATTTAAAACTTGGTTTATACATGTTCATAAACCCATCCAACTGCAAATATTCACATTAAATTCCATTTATGTTGATCATCAACCAACCTATCTGGGGGGTCCGCCTTGTATGGATGTCCTTTGTTTTCCATCTTGTTTGGTGATCACATGTGACCATGCTGGGGCAATCCATGGCCAAGTTGCTCAAGGTGCATTCGTAGTCGCCGGGACGAAGATCCAAAACGCGCTTGTAGAATTTGATCGCTTCCTGGAGGCTGTTCTCCAGTGAATTCCCACTCAAATTCTCAAAGGATGTGTCATGATGTGTCTGAAAATTGGGGCCTGAAAAAAATGGCCACTTAATAGGGATAATATGGGATAATGATAATCATAGACAAACCTTTGAAGGATCCCTCCGTCTTCAGCAACCATCAGTAGAGTCGGCGCAAAGGAACATACTTTGTGGCAGTTGAACCAAATATATCCAAATATCCCTTTGGTGCCTGCTCTCTTCCAGTCTTTCGGTACAAAGATGCCTCAGCTGATGCACTATGCGAATCAATGAGTTCCGTGATTTAATAAGCATTTTTTTGCGCTGTTATCACCACAATCACCATTACCCATCACCATCACTCATTTTGCCAAGGAAACTCTGCTAGAGACCTTCCAAACCTCACTGTCGTCTGGGTCAGCCACCAAGGCAATCATTGATGGCACGTCAAGGGCAGTTGGCTGGAGCACAGCAGCCTGGCATTTACAGAAACTGCCGAGGGTGACCACAAAATAAAAGTCATACAGCGTCATACAGCATCACAACATCAGCAAGAATCGGCTCAGCCAAACGCCACTCCACCAAAAGCATCCAAAATTGTAAACTTAAAACTTTGAAAAACATACTTTACTTCGAGTGATCCCCACCGTGGCATTCTATCTGATATTCTTTCTGGCATTCTATCTGACATTCTTTCTGGCATTCTTTCTGGCATTCTATCTGACATTCTTTCTGGCAGTCTATCTGACATCTAATTCAGACATACTTTCTGGCATTTCATTATATTGTGAAATTCTTTCTGACATTCTATCTGGCATCTATTCTGACATTCGGTCTGGCGTTCTTTCTGCATTTGGATCCAAGCGTGCCCCACAGCATCTGGAGCTGGCGATATGGTGTCCAGTGCTCACTCCACAGTGCAGGAAAAAGACGGGAGTGATGGGAGCGAGTGAAGCAAGGAGGCAAGGAGTTGCACCTTTGTTAAAATCTAGAGACCCTCACTGGCAGGTTGGGAAAAACACTCAACAAGAGAGGAATTCGATGATACACCCACTACGCCTGTTCGAATGCTCGCGATGCTTCATCAGCCCTGGCAAAGCAGAAAGTGATACAAAAAGGCAGAACCATAGCCGACACTTTTAGGTCAGTAGAGAAGAACGGTGCTCCTCTTTAAAAGATCCAACTTGCAAACCCATCTTTTGAAGCCTCAACAGATTGCAGTAAAGGTTGAGGGTCCCCTAATGAAGTCAACAGTAGCTTAATACAAAATCCATGCAACAACCAAACTTTGACCACATTTCGCAACACAGCTGGTAGTCTGCTGCACGGGGCAGGGGAATGAGATCGTGATATAAACAGGCAGAAAATGTGTCCTGCCTCCCCAATTTCAAGCTCGCACGCCCCAAGCAAAGCTGTGCTGCCACATCTCTGGGTGCCACTTTCGCCGCCTGATGGTCAAGCTTTGGATTAGGAACACCGACAAGACTCTAAAAACGGGAAAATATAGAAAGGCAATTTACCACTGATATTTTAATCCTTTGGGGGTTGCTATCTACAATGCCAATAGGGCCTGGGCCGCTAAGCGGTAGGCTTCTGGGGCATCATCTGCCTGCGGCCAGGTGCACCCATATTGTGTCAACATATACAGTGTACCTGAATGTATACACATATATATATATTCCATGAGAATCTGTGATCCATATACATCAACCATCGTGAACATACTACGTATGAATAGTCATGGTGAAAAACACAAAGAATATCAAAGAATCATGATTATTACACATAGTGGAAGGAGGTCAGTAGACGTGAACACATAAACGAAAATTGTCCAAAGCATCCAGCATGCTGATATTAAGAAGTACCGATCAGCACGCATGGGTGCTTCACCATCAAGGATTTTAGTCAAGGGGCATCAGGGGACTAGGAGTAAGCCTATGATAGCATATATATATATATATGGCATGCTTATATATAAGATTCTTTTCACAGAAATGGATAAAATCTGCCTATTAAAACCAGATTTTTTCTGGAGAATTTGAGCCTCCATGGCAAACTCGGCTAGTCGTAGATATCCTTCTGCACTGCTTGGATGGCTGGAAACCACCTGACATTGGGGTTCCACGGGTCTGGCTGCTGCAAAATTCCCTTTTGCACTACGCTCATTGACACTTTCGCGTGAAATCTGTTTTGTGCATGTTCCCGTTGATCAAGTCTCCTGCCTCTGAATTGCCCGGTGAATTTCAGGGAACTTCCGTCGATTCTAATGAAGGTTCAGTGGGGATCCAAAGAAACTCCTGGGATAATTTTTATAGAATGGAAGTGTGCCACTTCGAATTCATGCAGTGTGAAGCAATTAACACCTTAACCACAGCGTTTCTGCAAGTTCAACACTCTGACCCAAACATTAGGCAGCTTCGCTTCGATTCCGGAAGAATCCACCTGCTCATAGAGTTTTCTCGCCTGTGCCGTTCGCCAGGTTTGTGGTTGTGCCTTACTGTCTTGGCAACTGAGACTCTCAAATGGTGTACGGTCATAAACCTGAGAATATCTAAGAATAAACCTACCACCCATTTCTGGTAATATTAGGGATGTTTTTTACTGGCTTAAGCTTTTGGAAACCTAGCAATGCTAAGGTTGCGCATACCGATTTCATGCCCAGCTGGCAACGTAACGTGGCCATTGGGGGTCAAATACCAGCCTCCATTGGCAGGTTCTGTCGGTTGCAGGGTAGACAATGACATTGGTCGGCTCTATCATGGAAAATCATGGATGATTATCCATGGATGATATGGGATACCCTTCAGCCCTCCAGTATGTATAATCAAACATCGCAATGGAAACTCCCCCATTCAAAAAGTCATTCAGTTCGATGATATGTTCATCAAAACATCTTAAAACCATTTAAAACCTCCATTCATAGGGGATTTCCCCATTAGAAATCTTCCATTTTAGTTCGATGAGTTGGGATTTCCCAGCGCCCTCGGCACCTGAGTCCGACCTTCTCTTCGCTGCGACAACACGCGAGCAAGGCCCAACATGGCCGTTTCGTCCCCGGCCTGCCGAATCACTGATGGAAGTTACACCATGTTACATCCCCATGTCTATACCAATGGCATCCAATGGCTATAATTGTTGATGTAATTATGGATTTAGCATGCCAGAGACAAGAGATTGGGGAAGTTTCTGATTTTATGAGTCATAGAGAACTGATATTGAGATTCATTCTCTGTCTAGAATTTCCTCCGGCATGGAGGACTCACACTGGAGCTGAAGGATCAGCTACTGTCCAAGCAAATACAGTTGTGGTCGATGTATACCTCGATGTATACCTATACAATTCCGGAACCTTTGAAGGACCAGAAGGCGATCCTATATATATATGACAGAATAATCATAATGAATTATCATAATACCCAGAATAAGATAAGTATAACAGATATAACAGTTGTGATCATCAGAATTATTCAGCATCCCTCTCTTGTTGGAACCCCCACGATCTCTTCCCCTAGGAAGACTTAAATGTTTCCGCGAAAAATCTCCAGTACGGTACTGGTATCATCCCCAAACAAACAGCTCATATTGGATCATATTGGATCATATGAGTCTTCATTGAAGTTGCTATATCACTTATATCACCGAAAACTGGCCATTCCCAGAATTTCCCATATGGGTGTGTCTGAAAATAGTGCACCCCTAAACCCAATGGTTTTGCTGATCATTATCCCTATTAAATGGCTATTTCATTTGGAATATACTCTATTTTCAGACAAACCCATATCTTGTTGGACAGAATCCTCCAACAGCCATCGGCTCTGGACCTTGGAACTGAGGGCTGCTGAGAAGTGCTTCTCTGCTGTTGGAAAATTGCGCTCGCCCTGCAACTGGGCGATGAAAAAACGATGGGAGCATTGTGGGATCATCATGCTAGGTTACATTATGTTACAAGGTTCGTGAAGTCATCCCAATTAATCCCAATTAGGAGTCATTATTGGGATTTTTGGGGGATAGTCCTAGTTGGGATGATGTAAAATTACCCCCAAATGGTTGATTACTAGGACGGTTTTTCGTTGGGTTTACCACATTCATGGCGTAAAAATCATCGGAATTGCAACTTAAGGCCTCAAAACATGTTTGGAACTGTACAACTGGACTGGTATGAAAACATGGCTGCTGCTTTCAAACATGGTTTCTAGGGCTGAGAAAGATTCACTTCCGTGGCTAGGAATACAAATGCATGTTACCAGTGCGACTTGAGCTTCCTATTTCTTCGGATGTGTTCAAAGAGAAACAGAATGTCGAGTCGATTCATTGAATTGAAACATACCAAAATAAGAATGTCACCACAAATTCAGACGTTGCCAATGATTGTCATTAATTATTTATATCTGGAGATCAAAAGAGATCAGGGTGACCCTCTGCCTCAGCGATCTTTCCCAGGTATGCGTGTAGCTCATAGCCCAGAGTGAAGCCAGCATCCTGGCAAAATCTGGATAGATGTCATCGGGGCATGGGTCAACAGCGGCCAACGAAACATCGAAAAAGATCGAAAAAGATCGAAAAAGATCGAAAAAGATCGAAAATACGAAGATGTCTAGTTCGCTGCAGTGTACTACTACTATATAATACTATATTATATATATATAGAATCTACTAGGCTAGTAATGATCTTGACCCAGACCTGTATCGCTGTATCATCGATGGAGACATCATTCCGCTGCCATTAGCTGCCCATTTTACCATCGTGGATCAGGCCATTGGATCCCGACGAGGATCCCCGAGAAAGCCCACTAGCATAGGCCGCCATTTCTGTTGTTAAATCATATTAAACTAATTATTAAACCATATTAAATGTTATTAAACCCATAAGATTCTCCTGCTTGGATCAACATGCCAAAACAATTCCACATTGAAAAAGAAGTTTGGCCCGAAGAGCGATCAGAACCGTTTCAATTTCATGGAAACTAGATCAGGTGCATTGGTTGCGGGCATGAAATACGAGACCATTGATCGAAACTCATACCTGGCCAACGACAAACCACAAGAACACTCCTCATTGCCATACTCCATGGCTTGTCGCGCATACCTTGAGACGTAAACAATCCCGAGAATAGTCTTTGCCAATGAATGCCATCTATACATGTACAGACAAATACAAAGAGTCTGCAGAGATACCACAGTACCACAGTACATTGACATTATAAGTTAAAGTCAAAGTATGGTGTACTGGAAGACTCGCAATGATCACTGAAACAAGAAATGCTGAGCATGTCACTCTCGTATTTCGCGGGCATCCCCATCAATGGACCTTGACCACAAATGACAACATGGATGACCATCAGAGGCATGAAGACTGGAGAATGCAGCCACAGTGATTCAATGCGTGCCTTGGGAAAGTTGCACCAACATGGCTGTGTCTGAACATGCGGGATTCAACTCCCAAGCGGCATATTTTGTCATAGGGAATAACACGGGAAAATATTGTAATGATAAACCAGTGGATGTGAGGGTTTTCCCATAATTGTCCAGGCAACCCGACAACAGCGCCCTAGCAGCGCAACGCAGTGCCACAGCCTAATTTCAAAGGCAAATGCAGGGTTCTCCTTGCAGAGATGAATTGTGAAACATGTCCAACCGTTAGTCCAACCCAACCCCTTATCATCCCGCTGCTCTGACAGTGATAAGTTACTTTCGTCTGCCGTTGCGTGATGGGTGGGATGATATATAATTGGTCAGAGGAGTCGGTTCCAATTAACAGTTATATAAAGGCATTTTCTGCGATACCGGCCAAAGACCTTCAATGAGACTTTTGTGGACTGTGCGCGCTGTGTGCTGCAGCCTGATCGCTGAAACCTCCTGATGGAAGGCGGAAATTCCCAGCCGACCGGTCAACGCCTTTTTGTTTTTCATGCTTTTGCAAGTGTATTTTGGGACACGGTTTAGACATCTCTGTGCTACCATACCAGTACCAGCTCCCAAGATAAAAATCTTTCAGCGGGATTCTAAAATGTTTCAATGATTAAATCCGTTTGTGTCTCAATCTTTGCACGCAAACCTCCGCCAAAAATGTAGTTGTTTACTGCTGGTGACCGAACACCATATCAGCCATATCATGGCAGGCAACATCTTCAGGCTTTCGTCGAAGAGTAGCTCTGGCACTGCTCAGCACCTGCAAACAGAGACAATAACTGACTCAGCAACCAAAGCTGCAAGAGGAGGAAGACATAGGAAAACTGAAGCATGGAAAGAGGATGAAGATACAATGAAATGTTCAGTGGATGTGAGTAGTTTCATGAGGTTACATGCCTGTTACACAAAGAATCGCAAAGACTTGTGACTTGTCTACCCCTGGAAAATGAAACAGTTGCAGCCCAGACTAATCTCGTGGCTACAGCCTCGCGCCATTGGTCGAATGATCCGTATCCACCGGATGCGCCTCACTCACTGGAAACTTGCCCGCAATCGAAAGCTCTACGTAGATGTTAGGACGGGACATCAGAATATCTGCATATCTCAAAATCTGGGGGGGCCAAACCATCCCAAACTTACCTCTTAGTTGAATGGAAACCAACAATTGGTTTCCGGAGTACCACAGGCTCGACTGGAGTCGAATCTTTAATCTTATTTAATCAATTTTTGACT